GGAACTGCAACTCTTGCAGATAAACATCCGCATTTTCGACATTCGATAACCACCCGCCCCGGAGACCAATCCTTCTACTCTCAACTTACGACTCCAGGGAAGTGCCCAAAACCATCCCGCCCGCCTAAAGCTAGAAGTGTGAGATCAGCGACCGTGCTGTTCCATACCTTGGACAACCCACACCAGGCAGTTGGTACCAACGATGGTCATTGCAGTAGCAGAACCGCTGAAACTGCAGCAGGTGCAACAGCAATGGCATCACAATCACACACCACCACCACCACCACCACCACCACCACCACAACAACAACAACAACAACATCATTCTTCTTTAGCAACATCATCATCGTCACAATCGCCTCCATCCTTCATCATCCTGAACTACTGCTCAAAAACATCCTCACTCTCGTCACCAACATGAACATAACCAACCATATATAATCAGCATCAGCAGTCGCATTCACCGTCATCATCATCATCATCATCATCATCATCATCATCATCACTGTCGTTGTCCATCACCACCACCACCACCAGCATCGTCATCAGCATCGTCATTACTCCGCATTCCACGCTGCTAGCAGCTAGCACTCGCTCTGACTTACCTGTAAGAGGCAACTCAAAAACAAAAGCATCAAATTTCTCCGGAAGTGTCGCCAGTGACTTTTCGACAGGACCCATGCGCGGAAGATTGAAGAGCTTAGCATGTAACTCTCACTCCCCAAACGGATGCCAGCGGAAAATCACAGAAATCCGCTGCCTGAACCCGTTGGCACTGAACCCCTGATCCTCACCTCAACGAAGAAACTCGAAGGCACCACGTCCCAATCTTAAGCCCTAAACCCGAAACCAACCTTTTAGTCCTTGCCAGGGGGATGATGATCCTCAGGCCGAGGCTAGGTAGGTCACCCAACGATCGCGGATGCCCGTGGTGATCCGTTTCCGCCTCATCCAGCAGCTTCTGGGATCGTTTTCCAAGCCATGACGAACATGATGTTGCCGTGGAGGAGGAGGAGGAGGAGGAGGAGGACATGAGATGCGATGTCGACGTCGATGAGGCTGGCTAATCGTTATCCGATAGAGATAATGCCGATACAGATGACGTCGAGGTGTTCATGATGCTGCTTGCTGTTGGGCAAGTGATCGTAGTGATTGCGATCCTTGTGATGATGGATGGTGGCGAGATGTTGATGACGTGGCTGGGATGGAGCTGGCAATGACTGCTATCTTAGATTCGGGTTCCTCGCCCTGCATGCTAACTCTCGTACTTGGCTGCTGTTGTGCGTCAGGAGCATGGTCGCTGCAATGCCCCCCTCTCCTCCTGCCGTTCTGTTCGACTCGAGAGCCGGATACAAATGCGATCAGGCCAAGCAACTTCTTCTGGCTGATGATCTTTTCGACTGCCTGAGTGCTGCACAGATTATCTGAATGCTTCTCGTATAGAGATTGAGGGTTCAGTTGCAATGGCGCGTCAGCGAGGGGAAGAAAAGCAAAGCATGCCTCGATACATCGAACAATGGGGATCGAGGTCCCGAGTCCAAAAGATCTGTAACTATCAAGCGGGGTAAGTCAGGCGAGCAGCAGCACAGCTAGCTAACTTGGGCTTTCTGCTTCGGGGTCGAGTCGAAAGCTTGCGAAAAGGCTCAGGGCAGAGAACGGCTCCCCCTCTCCGTCAAACTCCAAACCACAGCTTAAGAAATTCTCCACAAGGCTGTAGCTTGAAAGTTCCTGATTTTGGTGCACACGTTCTCCAAAGAGTGTGGTACACGCTGTGGGCTTTGGGCATTGGACGTAGAGAGAGAGAGAGAGAGAGAGAGAGGGTTCGCGTAGCCGCGAGGGAACCCGCGACGGGAGACGCACTCATGTCCTATCATCGAAACATGATGGGGCCACGGCCGCGGCTGCTGAAAAGCCACATTGCGAATTCTAGTACATTGGCCCCCTCTTGCCCTCGACATGTCTGAGTCCCGCCGCTACTTGGGGGAAAGCATCTGGGGGGGAAGCATGGTGGTCATGCCTCTGAGTTCGCCGGTAGGTGGAGGAAGCATCTTGGCTGTGGCCTGGTGATCTTCGGCTAATCTCCTGGTGGTCTCGTGTCGTCTCCTGGTGGTCCTTGGTCTCCCACTCCCGCTGGTCTCTTGGTGGTCTCGCGGTGGCCTGTTGATCTCTTGCTTCTCGTGGTCTCGTCGCGCTGGTCCTAGTGGTAGTTGTGACTTGGAGTGGTCGTCGTGGTGGTCCTGGTGGTCGTGGTTGTCTTGGGCGTCTTGCTCATCATGGTCGTCGTGCAGCTCGATCACTATTTGGGAATCTACATTGGCCTAACTTACCACCACTTCCATCGCTCGAATGACCAATACTACCTAGAGATTCTGGCTCGGCTCTGCTTGTCACCCCAGATCCCCAGAGGGCATGCGTCTGGGAAGCCCCGCGTTCATGAAGCAGTCTGCAACAGTGCCCACGCCCATAAACCTGAGCCCGGGAAAAGCTCTCGGATGCACAGTTTCTCGCTCAAGGACTATTGCTCAGCGCTTTAACCACAAAAAACTGAGCAAAGATGCTGCTGCGTGAACTCCCGCGTAACCCGCTGAAAAACCTGCCTTCTGGTGCTCAAAACACATGCAGCAAACTCCTCTTCCCGCCCGAGGAGCATGTACAGGAGCAGCAAGATGTAAATCACCGCGCCTGCATCTCGAGGGATGGGAAGTCGGCTCCCATTCTATATAAAAAAGGCGACTAAGCAAAACCCGAACAGTTCACCGCACCATGATAGTTACCAAAGATCGGAATCCTTCTCCAACAATCAAAGGCTCTCGGTACAGTCTGACGATGCCCAAGCAGAAAGAAAACTTCAACCAGGGCCCCAGCGACCGCCCTTGTCTGCCGTCTGCTCAGCTTGACTAAGAGGGAGCCTGTCATCTTCGTGGCTTCCTCATGGAGACTCAGAACTTGCGCGAAGGTTAGAAGACGACTTGCGACAGACGGATTTTTCGGTTAGAAACTAAGGGTGCAAATCTACGAAATCGAGCGCTGGATGCTTGTTAGAAAGAATGTCGCTCGCACCTCTCTCGATGAAGTTTGTGCGCATTTCTGGAGCCTGTTTACAATCCTACCACAGAATTGCACAGTCTGGAGCTTTAGATTTCCAGCCTTCTTAGGTGGTGTGAGAAGGGTTGGGATGCTTGTGATTGAGGCTTAGTTTGGAGATCCTCCACTTTCCCATCTGTCATGCTTTCTCCTCTGGCTTTTGCCATCACAGCAGTGTGCCGAAGAATCACGAACACGCCAGCATCACAGGAGGCCGCTCCCCCCAGGCTCGCAGATCTTCCTCAGACGTTTGGGGGCTCTGACTGGGGATCCGCCAGAGATGCGAAAAAAACCCAAAGCCGAATCTCGCAGTTTGAAGGCAAACATGAATAAAAACATGCAGCAATGAATCTTGCGAAAATGCTCACTGCGCTTCTGCCATCGAAACGCGTGTAATTAGAAGCTGCGCAACACCCAAGTCACGGACGGTTCAACTGCGGGGCTGGCATTGCTGCCCGAAGCCATGGCCGCAGGTATACTCGGTTCTTCAATGTTCCCCCGTCTGGGGCTAAGACTCTTGGGAGGAGTCCTCCACGTCTTAGCGAACTTGAAAGCAGCGAACCAAACACTGTTCCATGCCATACTGTGTCTGAGTTACCATCGTTATAACTTCTTTGGTCGAGCAAGACAAGCGGCCCAAGAAATGTGACATTGACGTGAACAAACTTCCGCCGGAGCCCTGCATTTGGACACGACTGAAGCACAACGAACACAACCTGCACCAAGCTTCTAGCAGCTAGCACACTCTCGACACCCCAAAACCACATCATCTTGAAACCATGCCATTTCGAACCTGGCGTCACAAACCGCACCCGGCCTTCGCCGCAAACGTGGCAGAACATGGGGTACACAAACGGTCGATGCTTAATGCAACCAGCAAGTGTGTGAATCTCGGGATGTGAAGACCAGGCCGTGGCACACTTTTCTACACCAACATGCCACTGCACGTGCTGAGTGCAGCTTTTGCGCGAACCGTCAACCTGACAGAACCTGCAGCCACACCACACACGTCGCTGCAGCTTGGGAATCTCTAGGGCCAGGTATACGGGTGGGTTGTGTGCGGGGTCTTGCTTGCAACATGTCTTTACATGTGTTCAAGGCTTAAGCATGTGCTAATTCTACGGGTAATCAGGATTTGCAGAAGGGTCTGTACTGGAGAAGTGGCTTAGGATTCGGAGTTTTGGGGCTTGGAGTGTGGGCATTTCCGGACTTGAGTTTCCGGATATAGCTTTAGGACTTGCTGCGTGGTTCGAGCGCAGTGTTACAGCTCAGGATTTGGTGTAAGGGAGGGTGGTCCCAGGTTTGGTGATAGTTAGTCTGGATCCTGTAACCTCAGGGTTTGGAGTTCCGCTCGAAGAATCTTGGGCCGGTGCTGCCATGCTCGCCGCATCGCGAATCTGGCGACACTCCTACTCTCTTGCTGGATCTGGTCATCTCCACATGCACTGAAGAGCTAGCTTGGGCTTGGGTCCGTTAGGATCCGTGCTTGTTCCGGATGGCCGAATCATGCTGCGTGCATGGGTAGCTCTGAGCCATGTGCTGCATGCCGCATCCAGTCAGTCAAACCATGCAGCAACAGCAACTGGATCTGATCAATCGTCTCTCATCTTTGCGCGACACTCGCCACATTTATTTCCACACTGGCGCGACACCTCATCGGGTAGCAGCAACATGCTGAGTAAGTGGCAAAGGACGCTGGGAAAATGGGAATCGGACGGCACCGTCAAGCACGTGTGCTGCCATGCATCCCCGGCTGGCCACAAATGGAACAGATACGGCCAGATCATTGCCGAAGGCAGTCACTGTCGCATCTGAAAGCAGCCCTGGTAGTACTCATTAGCATTAAAAAAGCAGCTGCCAGCAAGGGCAACGCAGGCTTGCGAGAAAGGATGACCAAAACTGCAACTGGGCGAAGTTCAGATAAACGCCTGCTGCGTCTCCTGGCACAATGAAAGACCTAAACCTCCTTCCGCAGCCTTTTCGTTGGCCAGCTCAAGCTCTTCTGCCCGGATGTTGTTTGGAGACAGGTCGCCCTCTTCTGTCTTCTTGGCCGTCTCTGTTGCTCCCGTCGCCGCGTTTTGCGCAGGTCCGGGACTCTGGGGCGGCGCCGGTGGCGCGAAGGAACTGGAGCTTATCCGGAAGCAGTACCTGCACGAGTCGATCTGTCACGAACATGCACTCCTCTCCGTCCCTTGCGGATACATCCAGAAGCCTCTACAGAAACAACCCCTTTCCCTGCACCTCTTTGCCGTCTCATCGGCATCCGAAGAGATAACCTCTGTGCCGAGCAAGGACACCGATGCCAGCAGCAACTTGTTGTCGTAAACTCCCATCGCCGACAAGGCCTTCACCAGTCCTGCCCGATCCATCTCTGCGAGCTTGGCTGACATGGACTGCAAGGTTTCTGCGACGAGGCTGGGCGTCGGCGTCCTCGCAATCCCACTGCAACAAAAAGAGCTGCTGTACGATCAAGACGGGGTGACCACGCGACAACCGAGAAAGCCACGACACGCAAGTTTGGCCGCTTATCTTCTGCTGCAACTCACTAATATGGCTGCAAGCGGCGCTAGCAGGTGTGGCTGCTCAGTCGTGCTAGGACGTAGGGTGCTAGGACTTAGGAAAAAACTGTCCAGACTACGGCATGCACACTTTGCCAGAGGCTTTGCCGCATGACCCAACCCAACAACACTGAAAGCCGACAGCACCAAAAAAACATGTCCTCTGGAGGTTAAAGGCGATGAGCTCCTGCTGCCCGCCGAGTGCCGCCCGGAAGGTCAACGCGCTGACGGTCATCACGAAGAGCAGGGTTACGGCTGCTCCCATCATGCTCATGATCACCGAACCAACTCCATCTGCGAAGTCTTTCATGCTACCCTCGAGGCCGCCTAAGTATAGTGCATTCGAGGCCACAAGCATTGTAATGCAGAAGCCGATGAAGCAATCCAG